TCAGGGCCGGGTAGATGTAGAAGGGTGGCCGAAGGCACGGTCGAAAAGGAGGGTCTTGAAATGGGTCTTGAAGGAGGCAAGGGAGGGGGTGAGCCAGAGGAATTGTGGGATAGATTCGAGAGGGTGGGGGCAGAGAGGCTGAAGGCTTGCCCGCCAATGGTGGAGCAGGCAAGACCAGGGGGACATGAAGCAGGCAGGAGCCCGCTGAGCGGAGGGAGTGGACAGGTTGGTAGGGGGTTAGGAGGTCACAGAGGTAAGGGTGAGCAAGGCCATGGAGGGCTTTGAAGATGAGCACCAGATCTGGTGAGTTTGTGATCGGACATCTCTGACTTATTACTTGAAAACAAATCCTCCTATTTTCCCAAAAAGCATGGGCAAAAAGTGAACCTGTCTAATGCTTGAATTATTTGTACGAAAGCTCTGAACCTATGCTTCCTCAGGCTCAGCTGAGTTGGTTCAATAAAACTTGCATAAGTCAGATGTGTATAAATCTTATAATTGCCTAAGTCGTACATCTGCCGAAGTCCTGTTGAATTTCCCATAACTTATGCAAGTTTCACATAACTCATACTTTGCATAAGTCATATAAAATGTATGGTCCCAATTGATACAACTTATACTTTTTACTGTAGCGCACTTGCCTCTGAGTCAGGTTATAGTTTCAAGCCCCACCCACATAGGAACTTTGAGCTCATCGTCTCTGTACTATCACTTCAATTAAATCTTGGAAATGCTGCATTATCAGAGATGCCATCCTTCAGATGAGACATTAAACTGAGTTCCCAACTGCCTTTTCAGGCAGACAATAAAGATGCCATTTAATAATAATAATAATAATCCTTGCATTTGGTATAGCGCTTTTCACGTCGGGAGGACGTCCCAAAGCGCTTCACAGAACACACTGTAAAGTGAATTGACTGTATATTTGTGGGCGAACGCGGCAGCCAATTGCGCACAGCAATGTCCCACAAACAGTCGTAGATTGAAAATGACCAATTTAATTATTGTTTTTGGTTTTGGAGGGATTATTATTAGGCTCTGTGTGGAGTAAGGAAACTTGCCCAAGGTTTCGCCCTCTGCCTGGAATTGAACTCAGGTCTCTCGCTTGCAAAGCGAGTGCTCTAACCACTGAGCTACAGGACTCCACAAAGTCACTGTTCGCAAAGACAAGGGAATTTTTCCCAGTGTCCTGGTTAACAATCCCCAAGATAAAATTGGTTATTCATTGCATGGCTATTTATGGGATATTGTTGTGTGCAAATTGCCCACAAAATACACCACAGTCATACCCTTTAAAGTATATCCTGTGATGTGCTTTCAGACGTCTCGATGGCGTGATAAAGTGTTATATCCTGTAGAGTGTGGGGTCCTTGTAGCTCAGTGGTTAGAGCACTCACCTCACAAACGAAAGACCTGGGTTTGATTCCTGGCAGGGCGAAACGTTGGGCAAGTTTCCTTACTGCACAGGCCTCTGTTTACCTGGCAGTAAGTAGGACCCCAGTTGTTAGTTGATTGGCATATTGCTTTTCCCGGGTTACTCCCTTCAAAAAAAAAATCCCCAAAATAATAAATTGGTCACTTCAATCTGCAACTGTTTTTAGGACACTGCTGTGCACAATTGGCTGCTACGTTTCAATGTGCTTTGAGACGCCTCAAGGATGTGATGAGGCGCTATATCAAATGCAAGTATTATTCTGTCATTGAGGAGGTGGCTTTTGGCACTTCCCATTTATTGTGGACTGTGATCGCTCGCTCAAGAGTGGATACTTAAGAGGTCTGTACGTGGGGTGGTATGAACTATGGGTATACAAAAGAGGGATGCAGAGAGCAAGATGTTAAAGGCTTTCTTATGCCTTGCTGCAAAGTGCGCAGTTGTGAACAGAATGTGGTTCAGTAGCAATTTTCTTTAGTTTACCACCGCCCTGTCAGCAGAAATATGGTAATTGTTTAAGAGGGCAGCAGCTCTTGCTGCGGTTTCAAATGAAATGAGCATTTCCTGTGGTTTTGCATATGACTAAAAAAGCCTCCCAACTTCTTATCCTCAGATTGTTTTAGTTTGTGTTTGATATTTTGTGGTACTGCAGAATTGCCCCTGTGTCCACTGCAAGGTAGAATGCTCAGCATTTGGCAAACACTGCAGGTGTGAAACCTCGCTTATGCTGCTCTGTAGGTTTCTGCCTGTGTAACTACTGCAATTTAACTGCGGCTTAAGGAAATATGGCCAGGATTCTAGGATTTATTGCTTGGCCTCCAATAAACCCCACCATCTGTCTTCCTATGATGTCCCCACATTCGAGCAACTTGTTGTTATTTGATTTAATAATTACATTTGGAAGAAAGGAGATGTTTGCTGATTTCCTTCTGTCTGTTTCCCCAACCACAATAAGCTGTAAACCTAAGGTAAATGAGGGTGAAAATATAAAAGAAAAGAGATTTATTTAATATAAGCCTATTGGATCTCAGACTGGATGTGTACTTGTGCACCTGTGGAATATAGTGACGACAGTACATTCCATTTTAAAGAGCACATAAATTCAAATTGATTTTTTTGGAAAGTTTTAATAAGCTTTCAATGAATTCAGCATTGTATGAATCCATTTAGTTCCACCACCTGCTGCTCTTAGTCTAAGATTGGTGACTCCAGTGTGCAGTGTTAAGTATAGTAATGGCATTTTTATAATCCTGTGGCTTGATAGTGCATGCAGACTTCTAGATGTCAGAGAAGCAGCACTCAATGTGTTACTGTGCTGCATAAAATCAACTCATTGAAACTGTAGAATGGCATAACATATATTAAAATGATTCCATTACAAATCGCCACAACAATAAGATGGGAAGCTACAAGTGTTAATTGCATTATTTCAGATGCAGAGCCAATGTCAATCTGTAGGTATGAACCTGCAATAATGCATTATTATTCAGAGTTTGAACTCATTTTCAGTCACACTTCATATTTTCAGGTACTGTGGCAGTCTGGCAGCTGGAGGAAGGCAGTGAAGAGTAGTTTATGAGGCGAGAGGTATAAAGTGCAGTGCTGGGAAGGACACTCTGAATAGGACTTTGTTTAGGAATTTTCAAACCTGAAACTCTTCACTTCTATTCCCTCTACCCCACCATCAACACCCAGCTTAGTCTGCAGCCACACGCCAAGATTCAATACCATCCATCTCTGTCTGCAATGCTATCCAACTGCACAAAGCTGTCAATACTGTAGGCTTTTTGCATGAGTGTCTCTGGTCTCATGTAGAACATAGCAACATATCTAGTGGCCAGTGTTTAAGTAAACAAATTAATTAGCAAAGCCTGACCTTTTATTACAACACTGCCAAAGAAACATATGAGCTGATTCACCCATCCAACCAGCGTTCTGATCCTGGCTTCTATCATGATTGTTGCTTCATTGTTTTTTGCAAAATTGCTGGCTGTTATACCAGTTTTTTAACATCACAGTTTATAATAATGATCACTTCATTTGGGATGGTCTCTATAATGATAGTGTCTCAAAGTGCTTTATGGGTTACACCGTCAAGTCCCTACTTTCAGGCAAACGTTCTAGATCCCACAAACTAACAATTTATCTGGAGGATTGTTGGGCAGGACGTGGACAAACTCCTTTCACTCGCAGTATTAGCTGGTTAGACTCCAGCCGTACCCCCACCACACACTCTGAGATCCCCAAGCCTTGGCTCTTGCCAGCCGTTGCCTCATACTTATATGAATTAGGTGAGGTATCCGTTCCTCCAGTGAGAGAATGTGCATTCCATTCCAATATACGTGAATTTCCATGCATAGGTGGGATGTATCACTCCGTTTGGTTTGGATACTCTTAAGTTTGGTGATGGGTGTGTGTCAGACACCTGTTCTGTCTGACCAAAACAATCAAATGCTTTGAGCCCACAAACTCCTGACCCAGAGGTGAGAGTGCTACCAATTGAGCCAAACTGACACCTATGGAGATTTCCTGTCATGACTTCTTACAAAATCAAATTCCAAGATGTTTAATGGTTCAGGAATGTTGCCTGGGAAGTCCAGTTACTATTATAATTGCCTTTGATTTTTTTAAAAATCATGTGATAAACCATTACACACAATTTAAATATTGAAGAATTTAAATTTGATAGAGGTGACTGATGGATGCTTTCCACATCAATGTGAAGCCCCACATTCACTCCAAGCTGACACTCCAATGTATTGCTGGCGGTGGGGAGCGGGGGTGTTGTTGAATGTGCCGTCCTTCGGATGAGACACTAAACTATCCCTTCTGCCTTTTCAAGTGGATGTAAATATTCCATGGCACTATTTGAAAAGAGAAGGGAGATTCTGGCCAATAATTCCCTAAATAAAGCTTGGCTGTTTGCCTCATGGCTGTTTGTGCGATATTGCCATGTGCAAATTGGCTGTTGCATTTGCCCACAAATACACAGTCATTCCACTTCACATTCCGCTTCCTGTGAAGCGCTTTGGGATACCCTAGAAACGTCATCATCGAAGACATGATGCCAAATGCAAGTTTTATTTTATTATGTTTTTTTTTACAGAGAGTGCAATATGGTTTGTCTACAAATACACAATTGCTCCACTTTGCAGGAAATCCTGTGAAACATTTTGAGGCATCCTCCCAACTTGAAAGGCGCTCTATAAATGCAATCTTGTTGTTGATAGGCATTTTATCAAATGCAAAGATTATTATTATGATACATTGATTATTGATCCGGAAGTACATCCACTCCCTAATCATAAAGCAACAACTTGCATTTTACGTAGCCATTTGCAGACAATAACACCTTGAATCACTTAACACTTGAGAAGTTGATATGAAAAGGCATATGGGCTTTACAAAGGCTGAGACGAGCTGGATAATCCCACCAATTTCTTCTTCTGTTTTCACAAGTTGTTATATGATGTGGTTTTTATTCCTGCTGAAGAATCATTTTCTTTCTAAATGCAGTCCATTTTGCATGTATATGTGCTAATAGTTTGTCTTCTTTTGCTTTGTGTAGAGGTGTACTTGTCCGACTCGAAGGATGCAACCATCCTATTGTTATGAAAGGCCTCTGTGCAGAATGCGGTCAGGACCTGACACAGTAAGTTTACTTCTGTGGTTTCTCAATGTGTTTTACAATGTATGAAGGAGCAGTACAAAACAGCAAATGTATTGTTTTCGAAGGAAGGATTCATTCATAGCTTGTAATTCAGAATGATCTTATATTTCATGAATTGAATTGAGGGGAAAAAGGCTAGAGTGTTATTCGGCATTAGACGATAATAAAATGAGGAGAAATATCAAAGGGAGTGGCATTTACTACGTTATGAGAACCTTTTAGTGTTGTATTCAGAGTAGCTTTATGCAATAACTCATTTATTTACAATACAGGCATTCCTTTTATGTAGGTTCATGCTAACAAACCAGGACATCCCATAAGGGAATAAACTGAGGTAATGAGTCAACATATGTTTCAGAAACCCACAAAGAGCAACAATGAAAATTAAAACTTAAAAGTTTGGATGATGTGGGGGGAATGAGCAGGGACTGTAGCACATAGTGCATGGAGTTAGTTTTTCTCAAATAGGACAGCAGTGCAGGAAGCTTAGTTCCCCAAGCTAGTGAAAGAGGGAAAAAACCTTGCTCTGATTCAGGTCTGTTGGCCCCCATGGGACATTGTATTGGGGTAGATGTAAATTGAGGGTTTAGATTTAGCTGAGCAACGAGTTTCCTTCAAGGTTTAATAGCTGGTTAGTACTCACTCAGGATTCACACATGATGCCAAGACTCGTGGATGAATAATGAATACTTCAGTAAGGTGCTTAAGGGCTGCTGGCAACTACAGTAACTCAGTGTGAGTTGCCGACATTGGAGAGAAAAGAACTGGGGGAAAAAATGGTTGTTTAAAATACGGACTTTATTGTTGTTCCACAATGATTAATTCAGTGTTTGAAAGTGCTCCTGCTTTTTTCTCAAAACTTTTCTTTTACAGATTACAGAAGAGGAATGGAAAGCAACAGATCCCGTTTTCCACCGCAACGGTGTCTATGATTCACAGCGTTCCAGAGCTGATGGTTAGCTCCGAAGTAAGTGGTTACATGAGGCAAAATACCTTCTTCGGTTAACAAGTTTCGGGTATTTGTACAATCTTAGTGTAAAATGAGTCCTCTTTCTCCTCACCCCAAACCCCTCCAGATGTATTCTAGATGTGATTGTACTTTCACCTGTTTGCTTTTACTGGGATTATGAATCCAGTAGGTAACACTCTTTTTCTGAATTAGTCTGACTTCATGATACCTTGGCTTTTCATTTTTGCAAAAAATAAGAGACTAATGCTGTATTTTTTTTTTGAAAAAGCCTGAAGAACTGAAAAGCAAAATGCATATACTTAATGGTACAAAATCATGTAAAACTGGTTGTGCAATCTGCTCAGACCCGCTTTGAGTATTAGATGTCCTTTGACTGCAATTATGAATGGCTCTCATCAGTCATTTTGAAAAAATGTTAAATAATATTGGAGAAGAATGTGCCCTTTGCAAAGAATTCTGTAATCCAGTTTACAATCTTGATTGTGGACTTTATTGAGGTTTCACATGGTCCTGAGTTTTGACCTTTTCAGAACTGTAATAAGTGGTTCTGATGGAAAAAAGATTGGAAGCTGATTTGGTGCTCTTAATTTCTCCCACTTGTACTGTTTATTTTCCCTGTCACATTTCAGTCAGTTTGGATTGTTTATTTTTCGTTCCCCGGTGTCACACAGTGACACAGTAAAAATTTGATGTTTCTTTGGCAAAGAAATCAAACGAAAATCAAATGAGGGGTATGAAAGAGTCGTGGATGATTTGTTTGTTTAGTTTGGCACTGGCAAATTGACATCAAAAATAATTTCCATGTTTGCGTGCTCCTATGCTCTATGCTTACATATTATAATAAGAATATTGCTTTATTGATAGTAATCTGTTGCTCAAAGAACACCAGGATGGTACATCATTAGTAATATGAAATTTTGCATTTGACTTCAGAAGACATCTTAAAATATATCACAGAATTTATAACAGTACAATACAAATTTACATTTATATAGCACTTTCACGTAGGGAGGTCGTACCATAGAGCTTAACAGCACGAGCTGTCTTAACAGTTAAGGGTGGGAACTGAGGGGTATGGGAAGAGGAAAGATGACCAGAGAGAGTGTTCAAAGATGTGCATCTTGAGATGGACTGGGACCGTTCTTCATCTCTAAACATAAACCCTTGATTATCACTCAGTGTACTAGGTGACCTGTTTCAGTCCTATCTCTGTACAGGCAAGTTCCCTCTTCTTGTGAAACTTCACTGAGATTTACATAATACCAGATAATCCCACTTGTATTGTAGTGTTACAATGGGATGCTATCATCAGTGTCATTCGTTCTAACAGACGACTGACTCCAGCAGTAACCTGCTTGTGTATTCCTCCCTCCTTTAAGAATTTACAGAGACTCGAGAAGCACTATATAGAAAAACACAGTACTTTATTCGTCCTAAACAGCCCAATGACTCACTTACACTAACCACAAGTATTTATAAACAGGCGCAATGTTGCATGAACTGGAAAAAACCCTGACACTATGAACTAGCAGCACTTAAATAGTAATAAAGAAAAAACAATCTTGACCTGGAGTAACACTCCCAAATCAGGCACATATCTACTTGGTGATACATGAGGCTAATGACCTCGAGTCTATTCAGCCCCCATCTTTTATAGAAATTGAACTCCTCCCATATCAAATGATATCTTTTAGATACTTTTTCCCACTCTTGGGGTATCTGTCCCCTTCGAGGACTCATGTGGTCCTTTTTCCTGCCAAATTGTATCAACAACGACTTTGTGTCGGCAAGGCTGTCCTTACCGCTTCAAAATTATAATACGATCTGTAGATCATAAAGTGTTTCAAGGCATATGCGTTTTACTACACACAGATCTTATTTACATACTCACTATCTATGTTTTATGCATAAAGATGGAGATAAAGTGCAAAATAGAACTGGATGACTGTGACAGGAGCTTGATGAGGTCAGGGAACGAGCGAGTCAGAAGAACTCTGGAATGGAGTTCCAGAGAGTTTGCCCATCGATAGTGAAGGGCTAAGGGATATGTTTCTTGCTCAGCGAAGGGAGCAACTGGGTCAGTAGGCTTTGAGGAGGTCGCACTTGAGTATGAAGTGTAGAGACTATGTATTTTGTAGGTGAATGCAGCAGCCAATTGGTGCACAGCAATGTATTACAAAGATGCATAGCAATGTACTATAAATTGAACAACTAATTTAATTTAGGAATTTTTGACCAGGACACTGGGAAACCCGGGAAAACAAAGAACCAAGGAATAATAATAATAATCATAATCCTTGCATTTGATATAGCGCTTTTCACGTCGGGACGACGTCCCAAAGCGCTTCACAGAACACACTGTAAAGTGAATTGACTGTATATTTGTGGGCGAACGCGGCAGCCAATTGCGCACAGCAATGTCCCACAAACAGTCTTAGATTGAAAATGACCAATTTATTATTGTTTTTGGTTTTTGGAGGGATTATTATTAGGCTCTGTGTGGAGTAAGGAAACTTGCCCAAGGTTTCGCCCTGACCTGCCGGGGATTGAACTCAGGTCTCTCGCTTGCAAAGCGAGTGCTCTAACCACTGAGCTACAGGACTCCACAAATCTTTAACGTTGACCTGAACAGCCAGATGGGTCCTTGGTTTAACATCTCATCTATTGCAGGATTGTAGATATCCTGTAGATAAGTGGATGAGAGCTAGTTTTGCATATGAACTTCGTAGCTTAGATGACGGTCGGTGAAGAGACGTTTGAAAGCCTGAGATCCAAATTTTTCTATAATCTTAGCATTTAAGATGATATTCTTTATGTTTGAAAACATGCAGAATTTTGGAACGTTTTAATTGCAGATTTCATTTTTAAGAAAATTAAGACTGAATTTAAGAATTTTTGAAAATTTTGCACCATCTTAAATGTTTAAGATTTTATACGTTTTAGACTTGAAGTTTTTTTTAAAAAAGTGCCTAAAAGTATTTTAGATCTGACTTCTTGCCTCCTCCGTGTCTGAGAAGGAAACGCAGCACAGGCCGTGAATAAAGCAAGGGAGGAATGAAAATATTATGAATGTTAGTACTTCTGTTTATAAAATGTAAAGTGACATAAAAATGTCTTCTTTTCCCCGTACACACAGCAAGCTGAACAGTTGGGTCGGGAAGATCAACAGTGGCTTCACAAAAACCGAAAATTAGTATTAATGGTGGATCTGGACCAGACTTTGATTCACACCACAGAGCAGCACTGTCAACAGATGTCAAACAAGGTGAGGCTCTTACAATCGTATTGTTCACCTTGTGATAGAAGGTGAATTTGCTGTACAAACATTTATGGCGATGTCTGACCTTTTTTGTGACTGGGATTACTGCAATTTACTTTTTGCCACAAGATGGCAACAGTGTGCTAAATAAAATGATCATAAAACAAATTCATTTATAATGTGAAAGTCTCTGAAAGAGACAGGTAATAGATGTCAAGTGTAGTGATTGCATATTTGTAGGCAAACATGACTGCCACAGAACAATCTATGAAGTGATTTTATCTGGAGGTTTGTTGGCTGATTCATCCTTCTCTTTTGAATAGTATATACATTTTACCCACAAAATATATAGTCAATTCACTTTACAGTATTCTGCCCTTGATTGGTTTAGTTCCTACCTCTCATACTGCTTTGAGACATCGTGAAGATGTGATAAGGCGCTATATCAAATATAAGGATTATTACTATCTATGTTTAATGTCTACCTGAATGTCTACTTGGTTCAACAACTTATCTGAAGATGGCACCTCTGCACTAGTGCGTCAGCCTGGTGTAGGAGCTCTTAAGCAAATGCGGACAGGGCCCATGGAAATACACCTGAGCCCAAGTCAGCACCTATCGGAGAGAAGGAGAGAAATCGATTAAACAACGTTACATCAGAAGTGTTTTTTTAAAAATCATTTACTTATCACTTATTGACTTATTTATTTACTTATCACTGTTGAGAGGAGAGGTATTTTTCATTCAGTAAGTTTAAAACTGCCCCATATTAGGACCTGAGCTCATACTGTCAGCTAGAAGAGCATTGGCTTGTCAGAATGGCCATCTTTTGTACGAGACAATAAACTGAGGATGTGCCTGCATTTCCATGTAGCCATTATGAATCATTAAAGACAGCAGTTGCAAATAGAAAGTTTTTCCACAGTGTCCTTGCCAACTATATACTCTGCAGATTAATTGGTGATTTACCTTACGGGTGTTTGTGTATAGATGTAGTTACACTTTTGTGAGTTTATTGTGTCTTATAATTCCCCCCCCCCCGTTGGTGTACGTCCCTGTTCCTGGTTTACCTCCTCTTCCTTGGATATGTGTCCACCGTGCTTGTTGCCCTTGGGAGCCATGCCCAAGTGGCCATAGTAATCCCCCAGATACAAATTGGCCATGCACTTCCAGGCTGTTTGTGGGACATTGTGTGAAATTTGGCTACCTATTTTGCCTACAAATACATAGTCACTGCACTTCAGTGTAATATCTTGTAAAGCATTTTGATATGTTTTAACTGTGATAAGGCACTGTATCAAGTGTACAACAACAAATTACATTTGTATAGCGCATTTCACATTGGGAGGATGGCCCAAGGCGCTGGGCAATCGGTGTTTCGGATCTGAGCTGGGATCGGGGAGGGTGGAGGGCAGGGTGAAAGGAGGGTGATGGAAGGCACGGTCGAAGAGGAGGGTCTTGAAGCAGGGAGTGGGCAGGTTGGTAGGGGGTTAGAAGGTCACTGAAGTAGGGGGGAGCAAGGCCATGGAGGGCTTTGAACAACAACAACAACAACAAAATTACATTTGTATCACGCCTTTCATGTTGGGAAGATGTCTCAAGGCACTGGACAGAGTATAGCATTTCAGACCCGAGCTGGGGTCAGAAGGGGAGGAGAAGGGGGGTGGCCGATGGTATGTTCGAAGAGGAGGGTCTTGAGGCAGGGCTTGAAGGAGGCTAAGGAGGGGGTGAGGCGGAGTGACTGGGGGATGGAATTCCAGAGGTTGGGGGCAGAGTGGCTGAAGGCTCTCCCGCCAATGGTGGGGCGGGTGGGTCGGGGGAGGTGGAGCAGGCCGGAGCCGGCTGAGTGGAGGGAATGGGTGGGTTGGTGGGGGGTTAGGAGATGGGGCGAGGCTATGGAGGGCTTTGTATGTGAGGACATTGATGTTGAACTGGATCCTCTGAAGGATAAGGAGCCAGTGGAGTCAGGCGAGAATGAGGGAGATGGGTTCACAGAGCCTGGTGCGGGAGAGGACACGGGCTGCAGAGTTCTGGATGATCTGTAGCCCGTGGAGGGAGGAGTTGGGGAAGCCGACAAGCAGGGAGTTTGTGTAGTCGTGCCTGAATGTTATGAGTGCGCGTATGAGGCCTGTGATGTGAGACGGTGACGGAGCCGGGCGATGTTGTGGGGATGGGGGAAGGGAAAGCAGAGTGGGACATGGTATGGATGTGGGATAGGAAGGATAGTTAATGGTCAAATAAGACTCCAAGGTTCCGGAATGGCTTAGTAAGGTGGAGTGTGCAACCCTGGATGGTGATGCTGTGCTGTCAGTGATTGAGGTGTGGAGGCGCTGACAGGAGCCAATCAGGAGAGCCTCGGTCTTGTTGACTTCTTATTGAACTATAGAAAGTTAGCTCTCATCCAGGATTTGATGTCTGACAGACATTCTGTCAGCACAGCAGTGGTCCTGGAGTCAAGGGTGGAAACAGAGAGATCGGGTTGGGTGTCATCCGCGTACATGTGGAAATTGACCCCATGTCTGCAGATAATGTCACCAAGAGGAGCATTTAGATATTGAAAAGGAGGGGACCAAGGACAGAGCCCTGAAGAACGCCGCTCGAGATGGTGCGGGGGCTAGAGGAGAAGCTGTTTGTGGAGATGAAATGGAGACGGTTTGAGAGGTAGGATCTGAACCAGTTAAGGACAGAACCATGACGGTTGAGGTGAGAGGAGAGGCGGTGGAGGAAGATAGAGTGGTTAACGGTATTGTTTCTCTGCTGTGAGCGGCATGGAAACCCGATTGTAGGGGTTCGTGAAGGGAATGGCGGGAGAGGAAGGAGCGAAGCTGGGACGCAACGACTCGTTCCAGGACCTTGGAAAGGAAAGGGAGGTTGGAGATGGGGCGGTAGTTTGAAAGCAAGGATGGGTCCAGGGAGGGTTTTTTAGGAGAGGAGTGATGACATGGGGGCCGGGGTGTGAAGGGGAGATGGGGAGCAGGTGTTGTTGTTTGTGTGAACCTTGACAGTAAGTATTGACAGGCACTCACTCTACCATAGAGTATCACAGCTAAGCCTGATCTCTCCCCGTCCAGCTACAGCACAGACACAACCACTAGAGTGTGCTGTGGATTGACTAACAAGAGGAAACCTGGCTGGTTTTCCTCTCTTTAATCATGGGGAGGATGGGTTGGGTCAATTCTTTGCTCCTCATGCATCCTTGGCTGATGCCAGCAAACTCAGCACGGACTGGGATTCAGAGTGGCGAACTCTTGGTCTGCAAACATACATAGCTCCAGCGTCATGGGATCTTTTAACATCCCCTTGAACACACAGGTGGGACTCCCTTTCAGCAGGTCATCTGAAGGATGGAACCTCCGACAACGTAACAACAACTTGTATTTATATAGCGCCTCTCACGCGGGCTAGCATTCAGAGCACTTGAAGCAGCACATCTCCAGCACTACACAGGCTGTGTGAGTTCATAGATTACGTAAGTTTCTGATATGAACTATTTCTAGATAATGATAATCCCTGCATTCAAAATAAAGCTTCATCATGTTGTGAAATGTTTCACAGGATTTAGTGTAAAGTGTGGTGACTATGTATTTGTAGGCGAAACCATGATCAGACACCTCAATCTCTGTCCTATGATGTGGCCATTGTTAATGTACATGATGGTGACTGCGATGGTCTTGCCTTTGTTTGGAATTTCATTGTACAGATGTCTACGAATGTATTTTTGTGTCTCTATTACCTGCAGGGGATCTTTCACTTCCAGCTGGGGCGGGGAGAGCCCATGCTGCACACTCGACTACGGCCTCACTGTAAAGAGTTCCTGGAAAAAATCGCTAAGCTCTACGAGCTGCACGTGTTCACATTTGGCAGCAGGCTCTACGCGCACACAATTGCAGGTACTGCTCTGCGAATTGCTCCACTGTATGGGCAATGAACTGCTAGTTTTCTAAGTAAAGATATTAATGACATCAGTGTTTCCAGCTACTATATGCGTTCTATTAAGATTGAATATCCTGAGTCATTGGTATTTCTAATTAAACAACTCTCCCAATAGAAAGCTCTCAGATTCCAGAAAACCAATGGATCTTCTGGATAATCACTGTCAGAGGCATTAGTGGATTGGCCTAATTACTGATGCTCTTTCTGTTATATATGAAATATGAAAATGTGACGAAAGTTTCTTTAATGGCTGTGATGTTCTAAGTGGCCACTTGGTAGCAATATATAGACAGTAATCTAATTCTCTTAGGCAAGTGGTGGGAAAACGCATGAGAGCCTATTGAAATTCTGTACAATAAAAATACTAATAATCATCCGTATGTTTAGCATAATACTTCATCACTTTGTCAAAATGTCTTAAAACGCTTTATAGGACTTCTATAAAGTCTAGCGACTGCGTATTTGTCGGCGAACACATCAGCCAATTTGTGCACAACAATGCCCACAAACAGTGAAGAGGTAAATGTTATCGTAAAATGAAGTGAATGACCGATTTTATCTGAGGAATTGTTAGCCAGGACATCGGGAGAAACTCTGTTCTCTTTTGGAATACGGTAGTGCCTCAGGACATCTGATGTTCATCTGAACAGGCAGACAGGAGCTTGGTTTAACATCTCATCCAAAGGACAGCACCTCTGAAATTGTAATACTGCCCCAGCACTGCATTGGAGTGTCAGCCTGGACTGTGAGCTCAAAATGGGACTTCAGATGAATTGTTCACTTCTCAAGCTCCTGGCAGACACATTGCGTAGAAAATCCACATATCTGACAAAATGCAAATGCCGTTCTGTGAACATGAGCTGTCTGTTGAGCAGGAACACCTTGTCTCCACTGTGCATCTATGAAACTCTTGTCAGTGAAAGATCAGCAATGCAAGTGAGGAAGCACATGCTGACTCTGGGCAGGAAATTATGTAAGATGATTTGGAAATCAAATGACTATATATCACATGTGAATAGAGTTAATGCAGCCTCTACTTGATAGCTCTCAAGTTAACATGGCTCAGTTGGACTTGAGTGGAGCAGGGAATTAAATCTGTTTATGCCACATTATATCACTTATAGCACTAATGCATGCCTGCTCTAATGCCCACTATCCCACATCATTGTTGAGATGAGGGCGGTTGGGGGGGTGGCTGTCAGCCAAGGTTTTTGGTCCTGATCACTATCTGTAACCCCTGCTAGAAGGTGTCGGTATGGGCATTAGGTGAAGGCAGTTAGCTACAATGCCCACCCCCCTCATTAATGCGGTAAGTTGGTGTCTGACACTTGTGGAAACAGGACTTTAGAAAGTGTCAGTGCTACTGGGGTTGAGGTTAGGGATTTGTTGGGTTCTGGGCACTCTGAATTGCTTCATAGATGAGTTGCTCTAGACCCTAATGCAATTTCTCCTCCTTCATCAAAGAAAGAGGGAATTTTTCCCAGTGACCTGCTAACAATCGTCTAAGTAAAATTGGTCATTCACTTCATGGTAGTTTGTGGGTCATTGCTGTTCACAAATTCAATTCATTTTAAATGCCTCAATCAGATCATTTCTGAATCTCTCCAGCTTTGAAGAATATAACCCAGACCTAGTCAGCTTCTCGTCATAACTGAGCTCCTTCATGCCAGGTATTAGTCTGGTGAATCAACACTGGATGCCCTCCAAGGCCCTTAAGGCCAAAACTGAACACAATGTTGATTAGCTCTGGATTCTGAAAGGATAAGATTGAATGGACTGAAGAGCTCTTGTGAAGTACAATTGTGAACACAATTTAAATAGTTAAGAAGAAAGTTATAGTTTTAAATGTATAAATTCTAATACAAATAACAAATATTGTATTTGAAATAGTGACAAAATGCCTCAAAGTGCTTCACAGGTAATTGCTGCTCAGTGCAGTAGTGACTGGGTATTTGTAGGCCAGCACAGCAGTGTAGCAAAGTTACACAAACGGCCTTGAAATGAGTGATCAAGTTGAAAGGTTGTTGGCCAGAGCACTGGGAGAAACTCCATTCCCTTTTCAAAAGTTTCCAAAAGACTTTGAAAGTAAGTAATGGCCAATTAACCAGCAGTCTTTTGGTCAGAGGGCATTTATTAATTTCTCCAGATCCTCTCAGTTTTAGGCTTGATCTTCAGAACGACTTTCTAGAACACAGGAATTAACTTGTCATATTTGTAGAATAGTAAAATTGAATTTCGCATCTGAATGAATCACTGAAGGCAATACTTCAAAAAGGGGTAAAACAGAAAGTTTGTACTTTGCCAAGTCTTTAGGGACCACAGCTCAATCCTCTACATTTCTCCTCCAGAAGTACTTGGCCTTGCTACCTCACTCCCTGCTTTCAGAATTCTCCTATGTACATATCTCTTTGATTATACCTTTTTCAACCTCTTTAAATCTTTTCTGGGCTTAGGATTCAATGTTCCATTTAAGAGCTTTGAGCTATTCCTTAACATGAATGGCACTACAGTGGAGCCCTATTATAATATGAATTTGGGATCCATAAAATCTCGACTATAGTGATGCATGATAGTGAGTTTGACTGCAGAAAGACAGCTAAATGAAAAAGTAGCTGACTTCCAGGTCATCAAGACATCGCCAAAGTTTCTTGTTTACTGTGCATGTACAAAGCAGGAAGTGACAGTAGCAGCTTGATGACACAGAAGTTGGTCAGTTCTTTAGCCAAGTAAAATAGACAACTTCTGAATCATTGGATTGCTCCTGACGTTACTTCTTGCTTTGTTGTGTACATGTTGGCAACCTAATGACCCGGGATTTGGACATTTTGGCACGAAAGTTGGTAGAGCGAACAGGCAGACCATGTGCATTCACAACAAATGGGGCTCATAGATAGGGCAACCATAGGGCAATCAAGAGTACATAAGAATTTGCTAGGCGAAAGAAAACCAAGGTCCATCTGGTTCGCCTTCCACCCTCCCGGCAGTCACTTGACATGTTTTGCCATAAACAATATACTGTATGCCGAAATATTATTTTCTATCAGAAATCTATCTAATTTGTACTTGAAACAAATGGCATTTTCTGCTTCCACTATCTCGCTAGGGAGCCTGTTCCACTATTCACTCAGCGAAGTAGTGCAAGTGCTTAATAACAGAACAATATTGTGTATGCAATAAAAAGAGCAGATTATAATATGGCTACACTCTATGCAAACACACAAGTTATTATTTGGTAGTGGTGACCTGAGAAGATGATAACCTACCACCATTATTACAACTCTCCAAACAGTATTATATGGTTGCAGAAACTAAGGTAGTATTATTGGGAATTTTTTTTGACTAACAATTAATATTTGTAATCACCTTGTGCTACTAATACACACACATTTCATTGGAAGGCACTCATCTATTCTAATGCTCTTGTACAGCATAGGTTTTATGTTCCACTCTACATTATACAAATCCTGCCTTGAGGCTATTGTTCTGATATTAAGCACTTACATGCGCTCATGTGTTGGTTCATGTAGCTGGTGACAGTGAAACATTGATACCTGAAGTCATCGCAGAACCAGGCAGCCCGGGCAAAATGTTTCATCTGCATCATGGCAAATAGATAACATAGCAAACAAGTAGAAAGTCATAAATTTTTCTTTTAGGGTTGGTGGAATGAAAAACAGGGTATGTTCATTTATTTGCTTTGTATTCACTCACGTGTGGGATGAGACACTTTTCTCCGCATTACAGCATCTGTTCCACTGCCTGATCGGCAATCCTTTGTGGAACAATATTTCTGTAAGTTAACAGAATGCAAGTCTATCAATATGATATAATAATAGTAATCTTTACATTCGGTATGGTGCCTTTCATGTCGGGAGGATGTCCCAATGCACTTCACAGGAAATGGAGTCATTGTATGGAGTCAATTTCCCACAAACAGCCATAAAGTAAATGATCAATTTTATTTGGGGGATTGTTGCCAAGACACCAAGAGAAATTCCCTTCTTTTTTCGACTAGTGCAATGGGATCTTTTAATGACCACCTCAACAGGCAGAGGAGACCTTGCTTCAACATCTCATCTAAAGGACGGCACCTTCAACATTGCAGCACCCCTAAACCCTGCATTCGAGTGTCAGCATAGACTGTGTGAGTTCAAGTCCTGACCTGGGGCTTGAACCAACAACCTTCTGACCCAAAGACAAGAGTGCTACCACTGACCAGGCTGACACAGTCAATATCCACACCAATTATTGTGGATATCTGCTAAACAGTCCAGTTATTGGTGTATGTAACATCATGCGCAAAATATTCATCTGAACATTTTCACTGCAATCCAACTTCACTGTCACTTTCGTGTCCTGATTCGGACAAGGTCATCCGGGGTATTGGGCTGCGATGTTGGTGAAATTAATTAGTTCAACATAAGCTTACATAAGATCACCTACAAACTACGATTATTACAATTTATCCTGTAAAGTACATTGAGTCATCCACTTGAAAGGCGCTATATCAAATTTTAAAATGATCCTTATCTAGATAGGTGGAGTAAGGTTTGGGATCAGAATGGACTAAATAGATAAAGGTAGAAATGGGAAATGAAATGGATCAAAGTGTGCAGGGGCGGGGGAGTACTTGGTAAATCTCTGCTCCTACATGTCAGTCCTATTTGACTTGCATTTCAACACGGGTGACCATCTAGAAACTGAAAATATGCCCTGCCTGGGTCGATTATCTGTGGGGTAAATTGTTTTGATCCCCCAGAACTGTAGTAGCCTATCTTTTTGGTCGGCCAACAAAATACATTTTCTTAATTAAACATTTCCTGATTTATGGCACACAATATTCAGTCAAGAAAAACCTAGAAACATATCAAACGAACACAGACTGACTTAGACTAGTGCGAATGTTCTTGACGGGCTGCAGTTTGGCTGGCATTGGCCTTGACCGCTTCATGTCCTCACATTGTTTGAGTGAAGTGATTTGGAAGGAAAAACGAATTTGAAGTACCTTTGTATTGCAAAGCAATTCAACAAACATCACTACATTTAGTGTGTTGTCCTTGAACAAGGAACTGATTAGCAGGAATTGATTCCTGAAAATGTTATTGCTGGGTGATGCATTAGAGAACTTTCTGAGATATTATTACAAACAATTTAATGCTGTACCACTGCATCGAGAGCTCTAACTCTTGATGAGAACCCCAGGCAATGAGAAATTATCACCTTTCTCAAAAGTTTGCAATCTTTCGCTTAATTGGAAATTTCACATCCATTGATTGTTAAAACAAGTTAATGGGCTTTCCATAATGCCTTTGACAACGCAAGTATGTTTAGCTGCAGGCGATAAGTCTGACCCATGTACTTGAAGTCGCTGTAATGTCCTGAGAGGCAATGAAGGGGAGAGTAACGAGGATGATCCTCAATGTCACAGAAATGAGCTATGAGCAGCAAATAGACTGGCAAGGGCTCTTCAGTCTTCAGAGAAGATGTCTCGGAGGGGACATTATAAGGGAATAAACCATTTTGAATGGGATTAAAAAAGTAAGCACTTCAGGATGCCAGGATTTATGCTCCACGTGAGCCCCCACCCATCCTAACCTCACTGCTCCCTCCCTAGCCTTTCACCCCTCCCCATACCCCTCTATTTTCTACTTTCTCATGTATGTAATATAGTGCTGCACTATAAGCAAAGTAGCTCTGCCAGGCTGCCACCACAGTCTCCTGAACTGGGTCTTTATCCTGTCTCTGGTGATGACCACATCTGAGGCACCAAGTTAATCGCTCTACCCCAATGTGCTGTGTATTCCACCTGTGGATGAGATGAGCAACCTGGAAACAACCAAACATGCATATAATTCAGATTTCACGCCGTGCTTTGCATTATGCCATGCAGAGCAAAAGGCTGTCTATACTTCATTCTAAAGGAAGTTATCTGAAATGTATCAGTATTTTTTTTAAGCTAACATTTCGCATTATAAATGGGAAAGCATTTCAAACTTGGTCTGTTCTTCTTGAGGAAAAAGCACACGCAGAAATAAACCACTCAATGCAAAATGGATGCAGGTGAGATAACTGAGAGAGTGTTATAAACTTCAATATTTATTACAAACAAAAACACAGATTGCTGGGAGCACTAAGCAGGTCAGGCAGCATCTATGGAGAAAGGAAAAGGGGTCAACGTTTCGGGTCCATAATTCTTTGTCAGAACTGGGGTATGTTGGAAGGGAGAGGTTTTAAGGACTAACAGAAAGTGGAGGCGGAGACATGTGAATATCAGTAGCATATGCAGAGTAATGATTCACCCTTGGTGCACCAAGATAGAATACTGAGTTATACTCCTCTCCTCATTATCTGTTATTGGAGATGAGCTCATCTGGGTCAAAGATTTTTACACAATAATCAGGTTAAGAAGAGGACTTAAAAAGATTCTGTTTTTTTGATTTTTTTTCTCTTGCATTAATATTTTTCGCATTTTACAGCCATCCTGAAAATTGCCTAAATCCTAACTCTCTGCTACTTTGAATATATGAATATTTAATGTTGCTCGAGTCCTGGGAATTTCAAAATATTTTCTGAAGTAAGTCCTCTGCAGTGATGACTGTGTCAGAGCTTGTGGAATGCATGAGAGCAAAGACCATCTGAACATTTTCCAAGATCTTTGGATAAACATCATTCAGAACATTAAATAAAGTCTATCATTTGTGAATTGAATAGACAAATTAAGTAGTTTGTACTAATTGAACCATTCTTACTCTGTGCGTGTGTGTGTGTGGGGGGGGGGGGGGGGGGGATGTTGCCTGCTCCATCTCTTTGTGCAGTAACAGTTTTGTATTAGAGGTGAATATAAGTAGAGGGATATATGAAAAGTTATTATGGACAGATTAGGTATATTTTGATTGAAAAGAAAGTTCAGAAGTTGTGTCTTATAGAGCAGGAAGCTGCCGATTAAAATCCCGGTTTGTGCTGAGTTTGTGTCAGCAAGGGTTGCATGGGAGGCTGAATTGGCCACAGCTTTTTAAGGGTTAGAATAGGGAAAACCAACTTAAAAAAATAAAAAGATTCAATATATTTTTAAAAAACTCTTTGTAAACTCTTACTGGTCATGGGTACAGTTTTCATGCTATAAATCTTAAACTCATGAAATTTATCAAACTGAAGTGATTGACTACCAGTCACAGAATTTAAGCTTTAAAGACTCAAAATCTTCTTTTGTCTTTATTTTTAAAACTCAAGGATTTCTGGATCCAGAAAAGAAACTTTTCTCCCATCGAATTCTTTCAAGGGATGAATGTATTGATCCTTATTCTAAAACTGGGAATCTGAGGTAAGTAGTGTATGTGAATCTTAGGATTCATGTTGATATGTACTTTGGTTTAATTGCAGAACAGAATGGATCTAGAAAAAATATTAGATACACAATTACACAGAACGTTACACCATGAAAACAGGCTATTTGGCCCAACTAGTCTAAGCTACTAGTATTTTTCCTCCAAACGAGTCTCCATCTCTCTTATACCCCTCCATTCCTTTCTCCCTCGTGTGGGCACAGAACTTCCTCTTAAATACACTGATTGATTAAAATCACAGTGCCACGATTGCCATTTTCACTACTCATACCCATGCGGCCAGCTGTCTCCCTCCCTGCGAACGGGCCAGCTCCTACTCCAACAAATAAAATCCAATTTCTGGGTCATTGGCTGATCCAATAGAAAAGTGAGGACATTTTTGCAACAACAACAAAAATCGCAAATCTTGCAGGGTAATTGCAGAGGGCTTTGTTGAGTTTTGCGGGGAATTTGCGGGGGTTGATTGGTGTTATTGAGGTGTGTTTTACTGGTATGTTATTTTCACTTTATTGATAAGAGCTAAACATATGGAAATAACACATATTAAATTGTCGCAGAAAAATTGTTAATTGCTTCATTAACAAAAACTGAGTGGCCTTTTTGGGGGGGACGGGGGAACACCAGCGAGACTACAGGAGCTTACTACCTACTGCCTCTCAGGGCCGGCACTGCACACAGAGACCCAGAGAGAGAGAGAGAGACACACACACACACTCACTCAGAAACATGGAGAGAGATACGTACACACTCAGACACAGAGAGAGATACACACACTGATGGACACAAAGAGAGACACTGAGAAACACAGAGAGAGACATGCACAAACACAGACACAGAGAGAGACAGAGACCCACACACTCGGAGACAAAGAGAGAGACATACACATAAACACAGAGAGAGAGAGAGACAGACACTCACAGACAGCGAGGCACATCCTCAAAGAGAGAGAGGGAGAGACATACGCGCACACCTATAGACACAGAGACTCACACACAAACAGAGAGACCCACATAGAGACACTCATAAATACACATAAAAGATACATAGATACACTCATTTAGACACAGGCACAGACAATCACAACAACAGTGGGGCCCCCGAGTGTAGCCCCTCTGCCCACAGTGACATCAGGTAAACAGCACAAGTGGCCCGCAGGCTGGAAACTACATTTATGGTGGGTTTGTAGCAGGCAAGGGTCATTATTGCACTTTTCTATCAGCCCAGGTCATCGGAGAGCTGCCTATGTCACTTCCATGGTGTTGCCAGTGTCACTCCTGCAAACTGCACATGTCCCTTAAGAACCACCCTAGCGGTTAGCACTTTGGCTTGCAGGTTTAACTGGGACTGAATGGGAAGAATTCCCCTGTAACTTGGAATTAATAACAAAAGCCATCATGACAACCATCAAAGCCTTGAATCATTTCAGCTAGGTCAAAAACACTTTAATTTGCAACATATCCCCCATTTGGGCTGCTTGGTGTGTGGAATGGAAATTATTCTGTAAAATCCAACTTTGGATCAAAAAGCATGCAGGCTGTAGCATAACCCATCATCTGGAGTAACTTTATATTAAAAAAAATCAAGCCCGCTTCCTAAATGCTTCATGGTAAAGAAAAAAAATCTTGAATTTTTCAAGTATAAAAAAATTGATCCATAATATTTAAATTGAAAATATAATTAAAGCATGTCACAAACTGTCCCCTGAGTGTAGATGAGTTCCCGACAGTCTTGCTCTGCTCAGGCACTTGTGTGAATGATATTAACACTACAGGATTGAGTAGAACAACAACAATTTCACACAGGATAACATCGCAGAGTTCCTTCTTAAAAAAAATGTCACAGTTCCAGTCCAATTCAGCGTTTTTCCACTGAATTTTAATTGACAGAGTCCACAAATACTCACAGAGATGGTAGATTTTATGGTGCATATTCAATACAAATGCCTTAAGAAAGAGAATGATCTTTACATTTGCAAATCTTACCTTAGCTCTTAGTTTGCAGCTGCAGCTCAAAAGGTCTTGAGTCTGTACCAGTTTCCAATGCAGACTCCTCAAACATTCCTTCTTCCAGTCAAACAGCCTGAAAGCGCTCTTGGGTTCTTGATGAAGACTGGTTGCTTGGGCCAGGTACTGAAGGGCTGCTTTTGGCACATGAGTCATTGCCTTGTGCAGAGAAGTGGAGAAAAGTGAGCTGGATAAAAAGACAGTTGTAAGAAGCTTGAAGCTCCATTATCTGACTGAAACATCCCTTAAGATGTGATTTGCTACTGTGTGCCAGTTAACAATCAGTCTTCGCAGGGATTCACATTTCCATTGAGAAGATCACTTCCTATTCACAACAAGGTGTTTTTGTTTGGAATGCACTCTTGAGGAATGAACTGAACTTTGTTATACAATTCCCTGTGGTTCACATGTCAAAGAACATCAGCAAAAAGAATGCGTTTTCATGCAGTGACATTAAGGCTGCTAACTAATATAAACGTGTATTTGTTGAACAGCATCTCAGTGATACTAATTGGGATGAAAGGAAATAATTCTATTTTTAATCATTAACTCAATGCTAGGTAATTTCTTATATGTTGGGAGTCCTGTAGCTCAGTGGTTAGAGCAGTCGCCTCGCAGGCGAGAGACCTGGGTTAAATTCCCGGCAGGACAAAATGTTGGGCAAGTTTCCTTACTCCACACGCCTCTGTTTACCTAGTTGTAAGTAGAAACCTGGTTCTCAGTCAATTGGAGAATTGCTTTTCAGGGGCTAATAATTCCTTCAAAATAAATGTCAATATTGGTCACTTCAATCCATGACTGTTTTGTGGGATACTGCTGTGCGTAATTGGCTGCCGTGTTTCGCCCACAAAATATACAGTCGATTCACTTTAGAGTATATTCTGTGAAGCGTTTTGAGACATCTTGAATACGTGATAAGGCGCTATATCAAATGCAAGGATTATTATTATATTGTTTATAGCATTACCATACAAGATGAAAACCCTACTAAGGACAGTCATCCCATGAATTTGCACTTGTGGATTGCTCGGAACATTACTGAGGGTGGAGAAAGTAAAGTGCAGCGCCATTATACCCCTGCCTCATTACAGTGCTTTTTCGGTTCCAACGCAAATGGCGTATGGACCCCATACACTGAGCATGTGAGTAGCCATGCAACTAAGTGACCATCCACTGGCTGTTTCCCGTGCTAAGAATGTCCGACATTAGTTTGTTGCTGCTATGCGTGTTAAGGAAGCCATACGTTAATAATCTGATGGACTGGAAATCAGCCTTCGTGCAGCAACTGGATGGCACATGGGAATCCTGGCTGGCAACCCCAACGATTGCCAGCAAGGCACCATCATGAGAAAGTTGCATGATAGCCATAGCTTAAAACATGCTCAGGAGTCCTAATTCAGCAAAGGTCGACTACCTCTTACTATTGCTTCAAATGCCCATAAAGCAATATTTATAGCAAACAATGCTCCTGGACCGTTGTATAATTTCTACAACTGCTACTGTGAACGTGTAGATAGGAACATGACTCTTTGGTCCTATGCTAATGTGTTTGTATTTCTCACTATCCTTTTCTTTTGATTCAGAAATCTCTTTCCATGTGGTGATTCTATGGTTTGCATCATCGATGATCGTGAAGATGTTTGGAAGTTTGCTCCCAATCTGATAACAGTGAAAAAATACACGTATTTTCAGGGAACTGGAGATATCAACGCCCCACCTGGATCGAGGGATTCACAAGTGAAAAAGAGAGGTGAGTACTTAACAAATAGTGCCGCAGTGCTCAAACAAGGTTTCAAAGCCCCGCATCTTCCTCTATGAAATAATTTGCTGCAAATTATGTTATTGTGGAATCAACTAGTATTTGTATCTGTACGCTTGTTTTATTTGGTCACTGAACTGAAAGAAAGTGATGTGATTGCACTAATATTAGCTGGCGAGCATACTTTCCTTTTATTGTTGGGGCTGGAATTATTCAATTTATTGTAAATCAGGACCCCCAGGTCCTTTTCAATTTCCATACATATTATTTTCCTTCTGTTCAAATAATAGTCCCTTCCAGGATTTTTTGTCCCCGTGTGAAGAACTTTACATCGTAAATTATTCTGTATCTTGTTCTGCTGTCTTGATGCATCCAAAAGTGTTGGTCTGGGTTTACTTACCCAATCCCTTCAAGTTCTTTATTCTCCTTTCTGATACTCGGGGCTTTTTCCAGCGCACTTCATCCACTGAAAGTGATTCTTAAGATAACTTACCCAGCGTGGTAAGTAAGTGGTTTATTTCAAGTGAAGTACCCCGGAGCCAGACTAACGCTCTTCCCTTCAGAAGAAGTAATTCCCTGTAAGCTCTTTGAGACATTCTAACATGAAAAAGGACGATTTAGGACTTTTCTAGACTACTAAGGATTTTTCTGAACAAAGAAAGTTATGTAGGTTTAAAGGTGAGTTTCACCTCTTCTCTCACCTGCCCTACCACTCAACAAGTAAGATTAATTAATCTCTCCCGTACTTATGTTTCAGTTGCAAATTAGCAATTTGTTTCTAATTTTGTTTTGTTTGGGTCTGTTTTACAGTAAACCATTCATCAAAGCCCACAGAAGGTTCTGAACAGCCAGCGCCCACCTCTGCAGAAACTGTTAGTGCAAGCAACCGTTGTGCTGAAGAACCTGAGGCTAAAGAGCAGAGCAATGGTCTCAGGGAGTGTTCCAAGAAGCAGAATGGCAGCAGTGTTGATGTGAATGAAGAATCGATTAAATGTGATGAATCTGTAAAATGTGAATCTAGTATAAATCCTTCTCCTTCACAAGACAGAGTAAATGAAAGGTTATCCTCGTGTGATCCCACCAATGCTTCTAGCACAAAAACTGTTGTTTCTGATGCTTCTTCGAAAGTAAACGAATCCGAACTCTCTTCTGAGTGTAGTAGAAAGACGGCAGAATGTAATGTAGAGCAGCCTGACAAAGTTAGTGAAAGTCAGTTGACTGCCACTCAGGTCAGCAGTGAGATGGACTTTGATTTGTCGAGTGACAGTGACGGTGAATCTGTGGAGGCCAAAACAGCTTCTGCTTCACCCTCGCGTACCTCTAGCTCGGATACCGAGAAGGAACAAAAATGTTTGAATGAGAAAAAGTCCAGTAAACAGCCCACGAAAGAGGCCAATGTCCAATTGGAAGCAGGACTCAACCATTTAGAGAAGGAGCAAGTGGACCCTCTGCCTGAGCCAGACTCGCAAGATAAGAGCACAGACCAAGGACTTGAGGCAGAAGATGATCAGGATTCTCTTGGTGACGTGGGAAATGGGTGCAACGATAAGAAAGAGGCAGAAACAGAGTCGCAAAACAGCGAACAGTCTGGAGTAACAATGGGGGAGTCTTTGGACCAGAGCATGGATGTGGAAGAAGAGGAAGAAGAAGACCAAGATTGTGATGACCATTTGGTCTACCTGGAGACTTGCTTAGTCCAAGTGCACACAGAGTATTATGCCCAGTATGAAAAGCATCTTCGAAACGAGAGACAAGTGCCTGATCTGCGTAAAATTGTACCAGAATTGAAGAGCAAGGCACTTGAAGGCATAACTATAATATTCAGTGGACTTTATCCCACAAATTACCCAATAGAAAGGACAAGGGAGTGGTATCATGCCACTACACTTGGAGCCAAGGTTAACAAAACCTTATCCTTGAATCCCAAAGACCCCAATAGGACAACTCATTTAATTGCTGCTCGACCTGGTAAGTGTATCAGTCTATGTTACTTTCTGAGGTTTTGAGGACTCTTTTGGAGGTAGAGATGATAAATGTTAATATATACTTATTCTTCATAAAGTTTAGGCACTGTAGACTGGATTGAAACAGAATTTGTTCTCCAGGACATGACAAGATTGCTTGCTGATAGCTTATTGTTACTCTATCTGAAATGGCTCGAAAAGTATAAAAGATTTGCTAGAAATTTATTTAACCACCTAATAGTGTCATTTTTTGCTGCTTCCATGATCACGCTATGATCTCAAGCATAGCCTTATTTACAATTTCTAGTTGTGCCTGTTGAAAGAAAGGTTTCAGAATTGGTTATAAAATAAATTGGTTATTCTGCAAACACACACATTTTTGAAAGTTGACTTTTTCGGGGTAGTAAATATTACGCAACTTATAGTTGGCAATAGATTTGTTGCTTTCCCTTCAACAGATTTTAGCTGTTTGTAAAGATGAGCATCATTTTACTGTGATGTTTGTTGGTAATAAATAATAACATTAAAATATTTGTACAATTCTACTTAGGCAAATTGGACCTGACAGCAGATTTAAACTTTCAGAGCCTCCAGGTCTTTTGAAATAATCTTCAGGTCTTCAGCATGAGTGAGTCTACGTAATTCATGAGCATTCTGTTGTGCAGAATAGGTGGGGGATAAGACCGAGAAGCAATGCTAATTCATCCCACTCCCCACACAGGCTTTATTTTTCTTTTTAAACCACACTCTCTTTACTTTGTCCTGTTTGCCCCCCCCTCCCCTCTTTTTCCCGGCCTAAATAACTTTGTTTGTACAAAACTACACATAGTGAAGAGAGATTAATGTTCTCATTACTCTTGATTATGTGGGTTCAATTGTTACTGTATTTCTCACCTTACTATTAATTTCTTATCCCCCCTCCACCTCCTGTACATTCATGCACAGCTAATATTTGGAGTGTGTTATATTTGGCACTTTAAAGAAATTAATGGGCTGAATATTAACACGAGCTGGAGAAGAACTCGGTTCTCCCAGAAAACAGACAGTCTGAGAACCTATAAAGAAATGTTTGGAGTTGTGAGGCGATTGTAATGTGAATTCTTGGTGATCCTGTTTTGGGTCCAGAAAAACATTGTGTTTTAATGGAACAAAACTGGCTGCCAATCCCACTTCCACGGTGTGGCTAATGTCACTTCCTGTTTCTGATGCACACAAGCCGGTTCTTGTGGAGGCACAGATTGGGCCGGAGCCGGTGAGTGGGCACCAGAAGTGCACCATACTTTCAGTAACTGCAGGTCTGCACTATAAGTGGTCGCCGTCCTACAAGCAGATTGCATGCCATTAGTATTGGGGCTAAGTCACGGTTTCTAGTAAGGAAAGTATGGTGGTCACTGAAAGAAGAGATGTAATTTAGGATAAAGGTGACACCTGAGAGTTTGTGGGTGCAAATCTGACACAAAAGGCAAGAACCTTAGAAGTGTAAATACTATACATTAATACAGAGATTTAAGGAAAGGAAGGTAAATGGGATTGAAAGGATTGCTCTTAAAAGCCAACACAGGCACAATAGGCAAATAGGGATTTTTTGCTGTAAATGTCTATGGTTATTTATAGGGAAAAGAGGGAATTGATCTGGAATATTCAAAAATGTACATGTGAGAAATATTTCTAATTATGGGGATTAAAGTTAAATAGCTTTAAGAATTGTTAAAGGATGAATTCACAAAGCTGTTTTACACAAAGTTGCTGTTGATGCTGGACATTGAGAAAGACTGTGAAAAAACGTTGCTTTCATTTAGTATTTCATGCTGAGCATGAGGTGGGGCATCACATTCAGAGGCACAGGATCCCTCAACGTGAATAGTGAAAACTAATTGGGATTCGTAAAACAGTAGAGAAAATTGACACGTCACAAAGGACAAGGCTGTAAGGACTCTTAGATATGTTTTAAAGGGCAAAATGGCTGCCTATGTGATGCGAGGCAAGACAATGAGGCAAGAAATCTTTGATCCTTTACAGTAATTGGAAGGTGCGGAGATGTATCCAAATTTATTGGGGGGACAAAAAGTCACTAATGGACATCAAAAGCAAAATTGGAGTCTTTGGATGTTCAGAAAGCATTTGAAGATGCAAAGCGCTGTCAAGGAAGAAGTAGGGAAAGTACAGTAAAATGTTTTCACAGCTCATTGAGTTCAGTCCAGAATACTTTGAAAGAACTGATGTTTCAAGCGTTAATTATTCATAAAAGAAGCTGTTCAAGAACATTTAAGAACAGAGACAATAAATTTGAGCTGACTGCACCGTGTAAAATGTAGCTTTTTATGCAGCAAATTTATTATTATTTGAGTCTGTACCAGAGGTGGGGAGGTGGGTGCGGGAGCGGGGTGGTGATTCTTGGTGTTTCTGGTGGCTCTCAAAAAAATAATTTGATAAGAGTATATCACAAGAAACTTGCATTGAGAGAAATGTATAAAGATAAGGGGAGTGAGCAGGTTAGTGGGGTTAGACCAGTTGGCTCAGGTTGAGAATAACATCAGGGAAGATAGTTCCATGGTGGGAAAGCTGTTAGACAAGAAGCGTAAAATGTATATTGGATAATTGATTGTTCAGTTTATTGAAACAAAGACTGGCGATTAATGTTAGTAAATCCAGTTAACTTGCTTTGACTAGTAGAGTACAATGAGAGTGAGTCTGGACCTTTCAAGTTGACCAGAATTATCATTGTGAATGCTGTAAGACCAATGACTGAAGGAGAAATTGCCTTCTGAGAAAATGAGCTGTAATTGTGCATCTGTTCTTCATAAGCCTGAAAACCAGCACCGTAATAGGTTTGCTCCAAGCTGGAAAAGCAGCAGGAAGCTTGCCAGTGTATTATACAAGTAAGTTATGCAATTTTACATGGTTCAATTGCAGTATTGCTTTGCTGTTATTTATTTTGTCGCACATCAGAAAAGTATGTTTACTGTTGACTTGCCAGGTCTTGGGTTATGAAGGAGAATATGCTGACTAACATGCATTATTTCGAATTTGTCTGCAGCATTTATAAAATGGAAACGCAATACCTTGTAATGTAGTCATATATCCTTTCAATATTGGCTCCGAGACATTGTCCTGTGTGAAGGGCGCAGTATAATACAAGTTGTTGTTGGGCTGCCTATTCTGAAATGTGTTTGTGAACCCTTCCTTCCTTCCTTTAGCTGTCCTCTTGATATACATATAACAATCTTACAACCTGTTCCACTCTACATGCTATAATGATAAAGATGGCGGATGGATTGGCAAAACATTTGTTGCAGAGCATTAAATGTACTCAAATTGGGGTCTACGTGTGAGCGAATTCATGAATGTGTGCTTAACTTCTCACTGTTGTTTGTTTTAAAATGTTTCCAAATAGTGTTTTTTTTTCTCTCTTCCAATATCAGTTTTATTCTATCCTTCTGCTGGCCTGTGCTCCAATGGGTGCCCTCCGTCGTCCCCATCATCCATTTGTAAGTCTTTGACTGTCATAGGCTGTTTGACAACCAGGTACCGAGTATCACAGTCAAACCCCAAATTAGCCTCACTTAGGACATTGAGTAAACCTGTTGAGCCGGGTGAAGTTTGGATTTGGATGTGATCCTCTATCCTCCAGCTCATCCCTTCCCCACTCCTCGCCAGTATGAGTGTCTGCAAATTCTGCATTTGTTCTGCTGCAGCATTACAATAACAGATTAAGGAAGCAGTACAGATTTGGGAAGTATTAGTACTCTCCTGATACAAATAAAGACTTATTCATCATAAACCTTTGGATAAATCATTCTCTGGAAGCCAGCAGTAGTAATGAATCAATGTTGTGGTGTTGTCTGCACCAACATGGCTTACTAATAATGAGAAGTGTGATTAGTTGTTGAAGTCCTCCGTACAGAATCTACATTAAGAGCCATCAGACTTGATCAGAGAAGATAATTGAAATTGAACAATTATGTACAAATTTGTTTTCAAGACATTGGATCTGTGAACATTTTGTTAAGATTTTTAGTGCAGAGCTCCCAGTACCAGAGTAATAATAATCCTTGCAGTTGATGTAGCACCTTGTCATGTTGTTGAGACATTTCAAAGCTCTTCACAGAGTACAGTGGAAGCCACTTTAGCTGGATGCCGGTTAACCCAGGACGCCGGACAAATCGGACGGCCCTGATTCATTTGTATTTTAACCTCTATTAGATATGCCTGTTAATTTGGACCAAAATAGGGGAAGAGGTAAGAGAACTTTGGTTAGCCTTGGACGCCACTTAAGCCAGACAAAATGCCTGGACCCGATGTGTCCTGTTTAACGGCTTCCACTATATATTATAAAGTTGAATGACTGGTGTACTTTGTGGACGAGAGTAATCAAGTTCATGGCTCTAATTTGGTGCCGGATATTCATTTTCATTGAGTTTTATTTTTTGCCAGCCAGCTTATAATAGTCATAATCCTTGCCTTTCATTTCACTTCACTTTGAGAGATGAAAAGTGAGACCAGTTAACTTGACAGAGTTTAAGTATTGAACATGGTCTGTGTGATCTGTTATCACACTGGTTGGTTCGTCTTGCGTTGACTTGGCTACATTTGAGTGTGTCCAACTGTTATAAGTATGAACATGCAGTAGTGTATATGTATGTATATGGGGGATACACATAGAGACATTTCATGAAACTTCTCCTTCAAAAATGTGTCAAAATAAAATCTGCTTTTATGCACATTAGAATTGCTTATCAGATCCCCCCCCCCCCCCCCAAGGCAATGGACATGAAATCATCAAACTGTTTAAGATCAGAATTTCAGATTTATTCACATAATTAAATGGAGAGGAACCGGCGTGCTGGAAATTAACTATACTGGTCATGGTGGGTTCGGCCAGAACTTTAAAGGTGGTGGATAATTTGAGAGTTTATCTTGGCTTTATAGAGGGTTTTTAAGGGCAATGAGGCACGGTTAGAAGGGTAAATATCAATGCAGAAAGAATGATGGACGAGGGGTAGG